GACAGTCGCAAGTTCTGTGACTGTCACTTCTGTCACTCGGCGTCTGAACTGAAGGATGAGGGGACAAAATCTGGCCCTAAGCTCCGCTGATGTCAGGTACCTGCAGTGTCAGCGTACTTCGGTCACGCGCAGGCTGTGAAATTAAAGTGTCTGAGGGCAGGACCCCAAGCTCAGGAAGGAGCTCAGATGTCCCTCGCTGCCTGGTATGAAAATGCTGATGCGGGCTGGTGACACAGGCCAGCTGCCCCCCTCCCGGCTGGCCTCGCCTGCGAGCTGCTGCAGCTACGGCCTCTGCGTGCAGGCACGCCGTAAGAGAAGACTGCTCCCGATCAGAGTCAAACAAACATTTGCCTGTTTTCCTCTCCCCTCCTGCAGGCTGCCTTCCCCTGCCTCTCCATCTTGCTCCAGAGTGCTACCAGATTAATTTATTTTGTGTTTAAATATCCTTTCTTTTATTAAAATCCAAAGCTGTTTTGAGTGCTCTTTTTCTCCATCCTGCATTTTGCTGGAAATGTGTAATTAAAAATACGAGTGAAAGCCCTCTTCCTTTGTTACAGGAAAAACTGGAATGTTCTTGGTTTATATATAGCTAAAAAGTCTCATGGCTGTCTCGAGAAACTGCACGTCCTTTTCTACATCAGTTTTCTCTGTAATGCTTCATCGATGCTTTGTTGCTGCTGCAGCCATGAAGACTGACATGCAACTGATCCAGTGGGAAGATGATTTGTTTAGGTTATGTAAATGGAAGAATAAATAAATTATTTTAATATATTACAGTTACAGCTGTATATGCCCTTTTGTCAGGAGTTTCTTCGAACAGTTACTTTCATTTACTTAATTTTCACTAAAGCTGATTAAAATGTTGTGGGGTTTTTTGGTCAAAAAACCGTTATAACTGAAAATTGGACACTGACTATTGAGCATTAATTTACCTGAACTTATCTGACTTCTTTGGCATATTTTCATATTGAACAGAAAAATTAATGCCTGTAAACCAAAACTTTTAATTTACATCTTGAATAATTTATTTTGTAAATGCTACTGCAGTGTCTCCAGAGAATTGCCACTTGGATGTTTTTTGTTACTGCTCACTTCCTTCACCTCCAGAACACGCCTGCCTTCAGAACCGTAGTTATATCAGTGACTTCATGCTAAATGCTTAAGTGCTCTGCACTATTAAGGTATAAAATAAAAATCAGCACAGAGCTTGCAAAAAATGAATCAATCTGTTTCTCAAAAAGTTTTCAGCTTTGTTTTTGCAACCCAAGGATTTAACTTTTTTTTTTTTTTACCCCTGTCTTAATAACAGATGTCGACTTTTTTCTTTAAAGCTGCCTTTGCCTGTGGACTCCACAAGGGGGTAGGAAATCCCTTCACACAGTTTAGGCTCTGACAGAAAAGATCAAAAAAAAAAAAAAAAAAAAAGGGAAATTAAATTTTTTACCCCAAAAAAATTTAAAAAAAAAAAAGGCTTTCTCTTCAGATGAGTGACAGAAATCCTAAGCTATGTTTAGAATTGCAGTTTTTTGGCAAATCTTAGACAACAATTTCAGACAGGTTTTGATGTCCAGATTACAATAGCAAGCTGTAAAGAGAAATGCCTCTTATTTTTTGAAGCAGTATTTTAAAGTGAAGGCAACATGATTTAGCAGCTCTTGTTTACTCAAGTCAATTCCAGTTTCAACTACAAGAATATTTCTTGTGCAAAAGCAATGTAGAAAAGGAAGTATACAGTCTGGATTCATAGGCAGGGTATTAAAAAAAAAAAAAAAAAAAAAAAAAAAAAAAAAAGTGAACTTAACTATTCTGACCACAAAACATTTAAAAGTAGAAATACAGCAATTGTTTGAATAAAAATCACTGGCTTTGAAGACAGCTCTGAATGTTGCTGTTAGAGGCATTGCAAGAGGGAGGCTGACTGTGGATTGGCTGCCTGGGATGCTCTTAAGTGTGCCTTGCTGTCCTGCATGTTCAAACTGAGATGTACCGGAGAGGAAGAAGACCATGGGGGTGCTCTCAGACTGAGGTGCCCACCTGGATATGGGATCTTGAACTCCCTCCTGAATCCAGGACTGGAAATATATCCTCCAAGGGCAACATTAGCTCTTGCTGGAATCATTCACAGTAAAAAAGATACAAGAAGTCCTAACCCTTCTGGCTGCTGCACTGAGGAGAAGAACATGGTCTGGATTTGATATAGACCAGAGTTCATGCTAAAACAGTTCACTGTGTCATTTGGAAAAATAGATTAATGGGCGAGCATGTGTTTCAGAAAAAATAATACAAAACAACTTACTAAATTACTTAGTTTACTTACTTAATATTTAAGGAGAGAAAGAAATGAAGAGATCTGCAGTGCTTGCACCTGAATATAAATGGTGTACCCCATTGAATTGAATGTGGTTAATATGTTGCAGCAAAACCCACAGACACTCAGGTTGTCCTGTGCACCAGCAGGTGTGACCCACAAAAAAACCCCTGTTACTCTGATGCCCTAGGTTTTGTGCAAAGCAGTGCTTTGTTTAGCATCAAGGTTTGCACCAGCATCAAGTTTAACAGCAGGTGGAACAGTGTGGCATGCCACAAAGTCGTTCAGGAGCCAAATCCCACCATCTGACAGATCTGCAAGTCCCCTTGGCCAGAAGAACTACTGAAGAAGCTGCAGGCTGCAAGTTGGATCGCCAGACTAAGTAGATACTCCTTTAACATCCAAGGGCACACACTGGACACACACAAGGACATGACACACTGAAGCCTCACAAATAGCTCAAAATTGTTCCCTGAAAATTTGCAGTCTGGAAGAAGTGTTGTCCTTGTAGGAGATGTAATGTATTGGGCCGACTCTGAATGATTTATGCTTTATGTTAATGAAGTAATTTAATCATTACTTAAAATGTCTCCAGTTACATCACGTGTCACCAGCTAGACATTTAATACATAGAAGAACTTTCACAGCTGCCTAAATGTGGACTTAGAGACTTAATTAGACACCTGACAGTAACTTAACACTTTCTTGTGTAACTAACAGAAGGGATTAAAACTCACTCTGCAGAGTAGTTGAGTACAGCGGCAAATCCTGCTGGCAGCAAACATTGTGAAGACACTTAAAAAGGATCTGTAGTTGCCTCCAAGTCTAGTGTTATGTCTAATTTTTTGTGGCCCAACATCTGACTCATGGTTTCACTGCTGGAAGGATGACAGGGACATTTAGCATTTGTTAGCTTTCAATAAAAACCCCTCATGGTTTACAAAGACACATCTGATGGCACACGAGTTTCTCGGAAGAAGCCACATTGAGCCGCATGCAGACATGACCTGGCACAGCTGGCTGCGACACCATCCCTGCTGCGTCCCCCATCACCTGACGTGGAGCTCCCCTCTCCCTGCCAGGAACAGCACATTGTGGGCTCTCTGTATTGCCCCCAAACACTGTATTTCATGTGGCTCAGCTCCAAAAGGAGAAGCAGAAAGATACCCTGGCCAGTAAAGTGTCATGTGAAATGTATGCAAAGGTTGCCCTCCACTTCACCAGAGCTTCCAGAGAGCTGGCCCCCATGAAAGTACTGCAGGAGCAAAAGCAGATTAAGATGAGTCTAGACAAACCTGAGGTGACAGCACAGGCTCTGTAAGTCAAAGCTGGGCTGTGTTAGAGATCCAGCTCTCCAGAGCTGGGCCATTGGCCACAAGCAACCTGCTGCTCGGTTTTCTTGCTCTCCCTGAGCACTGGTCCCTCTGCCCTCGTGTTTAGTCCAGGGATCTCCCTGGGCATGCATTGAGCAATGATATGGGACAATGTATTATCCAACTTCTAGGTGCCTGAAGTCTGTATTGCATCCAGCCCTGCTCTGTTCCCTGCTCTAGCTGTTCAGCTAGTGGCAATTGTGCACAGAGAGAGTATGTGCATGAACTTAAAGACCTTGGGTTTTATGCTTTTTTATGAAAGGTGAGAGCGTTACACACCACCCCAGACAAGTCTGTGACCTTCCAGCTCCTTGCTCTCTCAAGTATTTCAGGGTTGGGGTGAAATTGGGATTCTCCAAATTCAAATCAGAACATGTTCATGTTATCACAGATCCATTTAAAGGTTTTCAGCAAAGAAAACTATGCATACCATGAAAGGTACGTCAGAGGTACAATTCACAATAAAGAGACTGCAGTAGCTGCATTCAGTAACGACCACTCAGCCAACCTTATTTTAAGCATGTAACTGATGTGATCTCTGGCAATGACTCTTACTGACTTCAGAGGGAGCTCGGCATGGCAAGGACCACAATTAGAGGCTCCAGTTCAGTGTGAAAGTGTGGTGGGGTGAATATGGGGTGGGCTGTCAGCAAGCATAGTTTATAACATCTGGAGCATGATGTCTAAACAAAGAAAGGACAAGCACATACCTGAGTGTGAGCAGTACTCTCGTTCCCAGGTTGTTCTCCCCCAGTATGAAGCACACGGAGAATGAGGGCTGAAAACCCCATTCCATTGTTTTCAGGGGAAAAGATCAACTTCAAGCCAAAATTACACTCACATTCTATTTGCCTGGGAATAACAGCAGACTCTATACATCGCTAATGCCCCAGTCACAAAAGAGTGACAAAGACTGTCACCATATTAGCCTGGGATGTATTCAGTTTAAGAGATTATTGATGGTAAACCTCAAGAAAGATTAGCTGCATGCATACAATATTAGGTGAAATACTGAGTGTAGGGACTGTATGTAAATACTTTCTGAAATTAAAAAAAAAAACCAAAACCAATGCATTAAGAGATTCTAGAAAGACTTAAACTTCTGAAACACTATCAAGGCATTAAGAGTGAACACAAATGGTAAATAAATATCATATAAAATGAGTCTGATTTTATTAAAGAAATATTTGATGAGATAATTCTATACGACTGACTCATAAAATTCATATTGTGCATTTCAGGTTTTTAATGAACCATGAATATCCAGTAATCCACTGTTTCTTCTTAATTTCTAGAGCTGCTGTCAGTAGTAGAATCTATTACTGTGGCTGATCTTCAGATAAAAGTTTTATTATATGAAAATGTGAGTTAAATATTTTGCCTTTTAAGATATATTTAAATGTTTTCCGAAACCACGGATAGAAAAAGCCGTATATTAATGGATTGCAGAAAGAATTTAAATACCCAAGCCAGTTTAGAGCATCAAACAAAGGTAAAGGAGTAGAGAAATTTACCAATGGATCAATTAAGACTGCAAAAAACCCAACAAAACCAGCATATTAAGAAACCCAGCATAACTATACACAAAGTCTTGGCAGCTTTCCTGTCTTTATTCTTAGAAAGCTCTTTTTTCTTATCACTTTTTGTGTGCCTGTATGCCTGGCACAACTCACGTGTGCCTTTGGGAGACTGTAAAAATTTTAACATAAATCCCTATCATAATGCAAGCAGGAACAAATAAACCAACTGTAAATAAAACAGCCCCCCACAGTTTGTTGAACACAATAGGGCACAAGCTCGAGCATTTAACCAGCATTTCGTAGCCTTCCATTCCAGAAGCATAAGCTTCCGAGAAAACCACACCAAAGACAAAAGTAGCGGGCAGTGACCAGCACACGGCTACGATTTCTTTTATGGCTGCGACAGTCATGGTGCTGGCGTAATGCAGAGGGTGGCAGATTGCATAAAACCAGTCCACGGCAATGGAACAAAGATGGAAAATGGGAACTAAGCAGAATGTCAGGTCCAAACTGTAATGAACTTTGCAGAATGTCATCCCAAAATACCAGCAGTTCTCCACAGACCTCACCATGCTGTAGGGCATAATGGGAAAGCCCAGAAGGAAATCCGTGATGGCCATGGATAGGATGAGGAAATTGGTTGGAGAATGAAGCTGCTTGAAATATGAGATGGAAATTATTATGGCCAGATTCCCTAAGACGGTGAGAATGAAGGCTGCTGTTATGAATAGATACATTACCCCTTGTGCTCCTGGTGACCTAGAGCTCTCAGGACGGGATCTATTTCCAAACTCAGAGCAATCAGTCAAATCCCCTGATATATCTGGAGAAACCATAATCAGTCCTTTATTAGATTTTTCTGTAGGAGAAGCAGTTCCACAAGCAGATTTAATTTTCATGAGTTTACAAAAGATTCCAAATCCTAACGTGAGAATACAAGATAAAGTAAGTCAAGAGCATGAATTAAATTACTGAGTGAAATGCAGTAATTCAAAGATGAATTTTCTCTTAGCTTAAATAGGGACCAACTGCAACCCATTATTTTTCTGAAATGGTACATGAAATCTGATAACTGGAAGCTAATATAAAAGTCATTGCAAATAATATTTAAAACTTTAAAAGCAGTTGAAAGTAAAATTAATTAACTCTTAAATTAACTAAATTACATGATACCATCAATTTTATCTTGTGCATTCTATTGTACCTGGAGTGTTTTGTAAAATATGGTTCTTGTATTTTATATACATCATAATATCAGTAATTTTGAAGCGGTGGAACAAAAAGATGCATAGACAAAGAAATCCCTCAAGTTCACTTCAATCTTTAAATATTGTATAGGATTTATTTATCTCTTCAATTTTAGAATGTTGATCTTTTTTGTATAGCAGAAATGTTATGTGAGCTCACATACCTCAGCTTTCTTGGAGTTTTCAGTTAATGGCTATTCACCTAAACGCTCATCTTGAGAGTCATAAATCACCTGCCAAAATCCCCTTTTCCAAATTATTTAGGATGTTAACCTCACCTGCTGTGGATTAGGAAGTACTAGTAATGAACATATCTGATGGAAATCAATTGTAAATTTGGTATGATAAGAAATATTTCCTACATATACACTTGTTTTCTATCATAATTCCACTAACTGAAAGGGAGTGGAAGTAGGTTGAGTCTTGCCTTCTGTAATAGGCTGTGATCCAGCTGCAGTAGTTATAAATGAATACACCTGTGAATATTTTCAAGGGTCAGAAAATTCCCTTCCCTGGGGAGAACCAGACCCATTTCTGCCACCTCTTTTCCTGATAACTTGTTTGGGACTAAGAGCATATTTAGAAATAGAAGGAGAAAAAGATACTCTTTTCCACAGTGATTTAACCCACTTGAAAGGAATTTGGGAAACAGCTTGGCCCACTGACTTTTTCCAGTAGGTATCATCCTGAAATGAAGAAAATACAGAAACAGAGCATCAAAAGATTCAAAAGAATGCTTGGAAGTGAGTTTTATAGACTAACCCTACCTGCATCTGTTTTAGTAATACCACCAACAGATTCTTTAAGTAGACATTTTCCTGTTTTATTATTGTCCTGCAAAACTGCAATGTCTGTAAAAGGCAGACCCCCTTAGTAATTTGGCTCAGATTAATGAAAGGTGGGAATTAATTTTTCTTTTATGACATTACATTTAAGTCCCAGGAGATTTTGAGTTAAAAAAATATATATAATTTAGGGGTTTACATCAACAGGAGATAAACAAAGACAAGTGTCTGTATTCCCAAGACTATTATTTTTGTTTGCTCTATTAATTCATTTACCTCATGTATAGGTGAGCTATTTTGGTGACTTAAGGTTGATAAAAGTCATATCAAAAAGTCTTTGAAAGGAGAGGCTAAAAGTCAAGGTGAAGAAAATATGTTCTGGTTTTTATCTGTTTTAGTGGCCAATATGTTCTATCTATCTTTCACGTTTTTAATAATTACCATTTCTAATGAAACTTAGAAATGAAATACTTAATAACCTTGAAGAAGATTACCATCTTGTAATTTAATGGGCTGAAACAGCACTTTCTGTCATGCTGGCTGTATAAGCAGCTTTCCCATAATGTACAGAAAATCTTCCCCATACATTACAGAAACAGATAAAAAGAAGTGTTAATTTAGGTCAATCTATCATTGTTATTGGACAATCTATTATTTAGAAAAAAAATAAAAATAGGAAAGGTAGTATTTATTTTCTTACAAGAAAAGACAAAATTAATTCACTATTAATGTGAATAAATGGAGTCCTCTGAGGTCAGAGGTGGATGTTCAGACTTAATGTTGACCCTTATGCAGGTGTATTGAAGATGCATTACAAGTCCAAGGGTAAATGACTGCTATTCAGCAGAGACTGGATTTTTATTGAATGTGATATACAGTGTGTCATAAGAATGGGGCAAAAAATAAACATGGGTTTTAAAATTAATTAAGGGAAAATGGCCTGTAATGATAGGACAAGGGGTAATGGTTTTAAACTAAAAGAGGGTAGATTCAGACTAGATATGAGGAAGGAATTTGTTACAATGAGGGTGGTAGATGCCCCATCCTTGGAAACATTCAAGGCCAGGCTGGATGGGGCTCTGAGTAACCTGATCTAGCTGTAGATGTCCCTGCCAGTTGCAGGGGGGATGGACTAGATGACCTTTAGAGGTTCCTTCCATCCCAAAGCATTCTGTCATTCTATGATTCTAAGATTCTATGAAAAGTAAGAACATTTAAAGGAGTCTGCCTTTATGGCAGCTGCTTTAAAGACAAACAAGGAAATTTTCTGTTGGAAATAAAATGCAAATCTCTGGCATTATCTACAACAGAATCATTTACAGACTCCAAAATTAGTAAAGTTTTGTTATTGTGTACAGCAGAAATATGTTATCTTTGAGATCTGTCAGTATTTTTGAGACAGGCATATCTAGTAAGTTTATTTTTAAGTAATCAAGTGAGAGATATGCAACCTTTACAGATGATCCTTTATTAAAGGAAGTTACTAAAACATAAATCCATGCAGAAATCTGCCCAGACGCAATTATATTAGATTTGAAAAATAAATAAATCTGTGGATGGAAGCTACACTTCAAAAAGCATTACCTTCAGAAAGCAGTGTCCCGTGTGCCTCACCATTGGTCCTCCTTCAGCATGGGACAGAAGATAGTGGTGGGAGAACAGTTTGACACCTCACCTCTTGGAAATGAAATGTCTAAAACCTGCTAACAATTGTACAGGAACTGAAACCTTTATAAAAGAAACTGTTTAACTGGATTAATGCAAGACTACAGAAAGGACCTTAGAAATATCATGTGGCAGTCCAGTTGGGCGTTGTTCAGCCTGGAGAAGAGAAGGCTCTGGGGAGACCTTATAGCAACCTTCCAGTACCTAAAGAGGTCCTACAAGAAAGCTGGAGAGGGACTTTTTACAAGGGCATGTAGTGATAGGACAAGGGGTAATGGCTTTAAACTGAAAGAGGGTAGATTTAGGTTAGATCTAAGGAAGAAATTCTTCACTATGAGGGTGCAGACACTGGACCACAGGTTGCCCAGAGAAGCTGTGGACGCCCCATCCCTGGAAGTGTTCAAGGCCAGGTTGGATGGGGCTTTGAGCAACCTGGTCTAGTGGAAGGTGTCCCTGCCCATGGCGGGGGGTTGGAACCAGATGATCTTTAAGGTCCCTTCCAACCCAAAATGTTCTATGATTCTATGATTCTATAATTCTATGATTCTATGATAAATTGTCTTTGAGAATTAGTCATATGCGGCACTGCTGTACTGCAAAGGCAGCATGGAGAGAAAATTGTTCTAGTCATTATTTTCACTGGTGCAACAGTTTAGTTTTATTACAGCCTATGAGTTTCCTTCATGTTGTACCTCATCATTTCCATGTTGCTCTTAATTATTGACTGGAGAGAACTATTTGGTTACTTATTACTAACTGCTCTTATTCCTCTGAGCTGGCTTTAGTAAAGCAGACATCACAGCAATACAGAGCAAAAGACAAGCTCAGATTTTTGGAAAGAATTTATTTTTTCCTGTTTGTAACTGGGAAAGTCCGAAGGGTATAGGATGCCCTCTGTTTTCAGTGGTCTCTCTTTAGCTGACAGATAACCTTTTAGTCAGTATGCTGTGAGTGCTCAGTGTTTAAGGAGACTGACTTTTCCTATACCTATGGGAAATAAGTCCAGACACCTAGGAGTGGGTTGTGGAGTTCCCACTGCCTAAGTTAGCTGTGGATCTGATGTCTTAGAGAAGTGAGTTTGTTTTACAAAGTCTATAGCATAGTCATCACAAAGAAACATTTTCAATTACCCATGCAGTTGGTTGGATTTAAAGTGGCAGCATGAAGGTGAAAAGATCTTATTAAAAATCCTGCAAAGGAGGAAATATTGTAGGAATTAAATTTCATAGAATCACAGAATGGTTGAGGTTGGAAGGGTACACTCTGCCCTATCATCCAGATCATTAATGAAGATGTTAAACAGGATTGGGCTGAGGATTGACCTCTGGGGTACACCAGTAATTGCTGCCTTCAACTAGACTTTGTGCCAATGATCGCCGCTCTCTGGGCCTGGCCATTCAGCCAGTTTTCAATCCACTTCACTGTCTGTTCATCTGGCCCATACTTCATTACTTTCTCTATGAAGATCTTATGGGAGACAGTGTTGAAAGCCCCACTGAAGTCTAGGTAGGCAATAACCACTTCTCTCCCCTTGTCTACCAGGCCAGTAATTTTATCATAGAAGTTTATCAAATTTAAGCTATGTCTAATGGGAACAGACTAGTCAAAAAGTGCTTACAGATAGGCATAGTCTTTTTCTGAATCAGGTCTTTAGATGCAGTAGTGTGGAAGTAGTGTTGTAGATAACTAAGATCATCAGAAAAACTACAGAAGTAAAAGCGTTTTGTAGAACACCAAGTATCATATGTCTGACTGTATCTAGTATTTTCTTCCTTGTTGAATGGGTATTAATGCATTGTGGAGGACAGAGAGTGCACAGTGTGCACAGCCTGGATGAGTTAATGATTTAAGGAAAGCCATACACTTTGCAACATTTACACAGTTTGAGAGCTCAATTTTTCTGTTTGAACACTGCACTAATGTATGTTTTTATCTAGCTGTTTAAAATATTCCAGTTTGGAGTGAGGCTTTCCTTGTGAACTTTCTGGAAGGGTCCTGCCTGGACAGTCAGTGCTCCTCCTCTTCCCCTGTCCTGCTGCATCTGGAGTCTGAGGAGCAGACCAGGAGGCTCTGCCGCAGATAGGACCACCGTGCATGAGG